ATGTTGAGCATCTTTTCATGCACTTATTTGCTATTTGTATATTTTTTTTGATGAAGTGGCTGTTCAAACTTGTGCCAATGTTTTATTTTTTCCTTGTTATTGAGTTGTAAGAGTTCCTTATATATTAATACAAGTCCTTTGTCAATATATGCTTTGCAACTATTTTCTCTCAGTCTTTAGTTTGCCTTTTCATTTTCTTAAGTGTCTTTAGGAGAGCAAAGTTTTAAATTTTGATGAAGTCTAATCATGTTCATTGATGTAAAGATTAAATATTAAGATGTCATCTCTTCCCAAATTGATATATAGATTCAATACAATCCCAATCAAAATTCCATAAAGCTTTTCTTGTAGAAATTGACAGGTTGATTTTAAAATTATATAGAAATGCAATTATATAGGACCTATAATAGTCAAAACCACCTTGAAATAGCAGAAAAAATTCAATTATTCTTGCTACTTGATTTCAAGACTTTTTATACTGCAACAGAAATCACGACTTTATGCTATTGGCATAAAGGTAGAATGAAATCCAGAAAATAAAAACCTATACATTTATGGTTAGTGATTTTGACAAAGGTATCTATATAATTAAATGGGGAAAGGATAATCTTTTCAATAAATAGGGCTGAAATAATGGAATAGCCATATGCAAAAAATGAATCGATCTTTACCTCACACCACATAGAAAAATTACCTTGAAATGGATCATAGACCTAACTGTAAGAACCAAAACCGTGGCCCATCTAGAAGAGGAGCAAATCTTAGTAATCCCACGTTTAAAATTTTGATTGGATACCAGAAATGTAGATGAAAAATTTCAGAACTACAATAAGTGGTTTAAAAAAGAAGAAGGTTATTGGAATATATGAGGTATGTAAACACTTACTGAATTTTTTTGAATGAAATATTTATGAAGGGAAATAAATCTAAAAGGCAGTGATAAATACAAACAGTGCACATTTAATTTGGCCTCCAAATCCTTCTATCTGTAGAATAAACCACCTCTAGAGAAATGCAGTTTTTCAGCTTGAGCGAAACTATTCTTTTGTTAAATCAAAAGCACAGAAAGAGAAGCTTCAGAAATTTTCAGGCCATAACCTTTGACCTTTTAATGAAAGATTCCAGTATCCCATTCCCACTCCAATGGAAAAAAACAACCACATAACACTGATGAAGTGAGGTTTCAAATACTTAGTCCCAGAATCTGATTTTAAAGGATTTCTTGTAGCCTCCCTATGCTGAGATTCTAATTCTGTCAAATGAGGCCTACATCTTAAATACTGATGAACATTCTATGCATCAAAAGAGTCAAGAATGGCATGCAAATTTGTGAAAGCTACTATAATTTTGAAGTAAAGAGATGGGCTTTGGAGTTAGACAGGTTTGGTTTTAAAATTCAACACTGCCCCTGGCAGTGACCTTTTACCATTTGCTTAATCTTTCAAGTTTCTGTTTCCTTAACTGTGACAGTATCAATCTCCTAAAATTTCTGTGAGGATTAAGTAAGAATAAGAATATAAGCAGTGCAATGTCTGATACATAGTAGTATTGCAATAAATGGAGAATATTGTTGTTATAATAATTATTAGTAACCAGTTAGTTCCCTGTTTTAAGGACTAGGCATTCAGTGGAATGCCAGTGTTCAGAGGCAATCCCCTTATCACCACTTCGCTGTTAAAGTGACTTATTTAATAAGGTTGGCAGCCCAAAGAAAAATCTTCAAAAGAATGAAGAGTCCTTTAAAGGCTGTCAGCCTTTGCCTGAGTTGACTCAAGAGTAGCAGAATGTGCCACCCAAAAATATGCCTCTTTGACATAAGTATTATTTTAAGCTGATTATTTTGAGAAACAGCAGACACAAGAGAAGCTCTGAAAACAGAGAAGTTACCCTTTTGTAATGGAAATTTACATTTATAAAGGAAGTCTTCCTTTACCAGAAAAAGGATGACTAAATCACAAGAGAATCTTGTGAATCTTGTAGAGAAGGCACCAACTTAATCTGCAGAACAAACCTTACCCTTGTTCACCATACTTTTCCTCCCCAGTTATGGGGTTACCTCCCCATAGCTGGTCTCCCCTCAACACTTTCTTTTGTCTTTAGCTGAAATGGTATTTAAGCCTGAATTCTAAGCCACCTCTGAGAGTTACTCATTTTTCCCTATCTTCCACATGTACATGAGGTATACATGTTAATAAATTTGTTTTTCTCTTATTAACCTGTCTTGTGTTACAGGGGCCCCAGCTGAGAACTTAGAAGAGTATAAGAAAAATGATTTTTTCCTCCCCTATATGACCTTGAATTTGTGGAAGGCCCTGACTTTAGCCTGGCTAACTTTCTTGGTCCTATGCTCCTGACTTCTATTACACCGACTTTTTTTTTGTGAGGAACATCGGCATTATAATTGGAGCAGTTTACTTTCATAAGGCTTAAGTAGCTTTCTTAATCTTCTTAAAGTTTTTTCTCATTTAAAGTTCTTGGCTTGGTTTAAAAAAAAAAAAAAAAGTTGTCCCTAGTCTGTTATTAACAATCTGTTACAATTTATTGTGTTTATTATGTATACGATACTTGATGTACATTATCTTTAATCGTTACAATTTTAAGAGGTAGAAATTATTCCATTTTAGACATGAGAAAACAGGCTGTGCAGAATTAGCTTGCTCTAAGACTGGAGGGTACAAAAAAGGCTACTAGGCCTGATTTTGAAGATTTCTGCAGGGTTTGAAACAGATGTACTTAAAAACTTCAGAGTCAGAATTTGAGCACAGACCTGGCCTAGACTTCTCTGTCCCCTCCCAGATATATTTATGAGCACAGGCTCTGGAGTCAGACTGCTTGGCTTCAAATCTCAGCTCCAACAAATTAACAGATGCCTACTTCATAGGATAATGTAAAGTGAGGAAAGAGACCCTGCAAGAAGGGTACAAAACAGGGTAGGAACAATGCTGCTTACTTCAGTTTTGTTTAGGCTGCTGTTACCCAAGTGTTCTTCCGTTGGTTCTAGGAGGATGCAGGATGATACCCAGGGAAAATCAGAGGTGGGGGATAAAGGATTAAGGATTTTACTTCCCTCTATCTATATAACTTTTATACTAATGGGGAAAACTAATTCAATAACCCAACTTATTACTTATCTTTTTAAAGGACAGGCAAGCAATAACTATATAATATAGATATTTTATTATTTTTTTTTCTAATTTTTTATTTATTTATTTGTTCCCCCAAAGCCCCAGTAGATAGTTGTATGTCATAGCTGCATATCCTTCTAGTTGCTGTATGTGGGACGCGGCCTCAGCATGGCCGGAGAAGCGGTGAGTTGGTGCGCACCCGGGATCCGAACTCGGGCCGCCAGCAGCGGAGCGCGTGCACTCAACTGCTAAGCCACGGGGCCGGCCCGGAAAATCAGGCTTTATCAAGAGTTGGTCCAAGTATTCTAAGGGTTAATCTTAGGTAAATGTGACTCAATATGTCAATTCCCCATTTCCACACTCATCTTAAATTTGTAAGAAGTAGCTTAATGAGATGAATATATATAGCAAAAAGACTGTTTGGTCTAAATATCAAAGTTTATTGAAATAAAATATAATCTATAATAAAAAATACTAAAGGTGTTATCACTGGTTACAGTTTTAAGTATATTAACAAAAACGCCAACATTTTAATCCAAGAATGACCTATCCAATAACAAACATGAAATTAAATGTTGAATAATACTGAATAATTCTGTTAGAAATATATTTTCCCATCTATGTTCAATATGCCTTTTTTAGGAATATCCTCCCAAAGTGAAACTTTTGAAACTTAAGACATAGTTTTAGAATCGAATAGTTTTAGCATAATTAGCTTTTAAAACAACAACTGTCTTTCATAGAAGTTCAACCCTAAGCTGGGTAGATGCTTTAAGGTGTCTTTATTCCGAAAATGAATTTCAATGCTCTTTCCAATCAATCTCTAGGGTTGCTATTATTCTTAAACTGGAATTTAACCTGGTCATAAAGCAAAACAGATGAATTATTTCAGAAGTAGAAAGGGCATCAAGATAGTAAAGGAAAAGAGGAGGAAAAAAAAGGCACTCATACACAATCTATATATTTAAGTTCTTTGAAAACTCTATTACAGTTGGCCAATTTTGGCCTGGCACAAAGAGATCTATGATATGTCATAGCAACTTCTTGACCCAAATAGTCCAACAGTAAAGTGGAGGAAGAAAATTTGTTTCTTCTTGCTATATTACCATTTTACTTGCTACTCCTCAAAATGTGCCACAATACAATTATTCTGCACAATTCAAGGAAAAAGACTCACATGCACTAACTTTAGGAAATGACTTTCAAGGTACCTCAGAAGTTTCACAAGTGAAGATTATCCCTTTGGGGACTGTTGTGTAGCAATCATACATCAGTCTTCTATCATATTGTCCTACTTGTAATAAGTGGATGTGTGAAAACAACAGTTGTCATTTTATTGAGGAAGATAGCTTTTTAACAAAAACCACTGGAAAATTTTCATATCCTCATTTTTAAAAATCTGTAAAGCTAAGATATCCTATATACTCTGGAAAAAAATGGTTATTTCATATAACTAAAATGTAAAAAACAACAAAAACCGACGAAACTGAGAGACACACAAGACAGATCTTCAAAGATTAAATGCCAATCTTAGTCTTAAAACACATTCCATTAGTTAGAACGGCTCTGTAGGGTATTTCAGTTATGATGCCCATTTGGACAAGTCACTGATTTGGAAATTTAAATGGGCATATCAGTTTCCTGGCTTCCTGTTTAAAGCCAAAGAAGCCAGGATCACTTTCAGAAGAATTTTGCTTTGTGCATTTTCTAACCTAGGAGGCACCCCTGCCTCTCAAAGCAGGATATTATAGTGAAGATGGATATAAACTTTTTAAAGTTAATGGTGACAAATTAAGTAATATGAAGAAATTCTTAGAATTAATATCAGATGAAATAGAGAGACTTATCGTAGAATAATACTACTTTTTGTTCTTTAAATCTACTGTGGTTATTTAAAACTTAGGCTTTGTATTTCTGCCATGGTACTTCAAGCCTAATCTGGGATGCTACCATGCCCTAAAAATACCTGTTATAGGCAAAGTCTAAATCGCTTCCTTTCTCAGGGCAACAGGATGAAGCTGAACCTGAGGCAATAGTTGAAGACTTTTACCGTTTTTTGAGGTTAATTTTTCTGAGATCAGAAAAGTGAAATTAGAAACTAGAATCCTTCATGTAAAAATATATATGTGTATCACAATTTGTTAAACTCTAATTTCTTAACAGCAGAAACAGAGGGATTAAGAGACATGCACGAATTAAAATTTAGATAGATCTTCAAAATAAGTTAAACTTATCAGAGTCCTGCAATTTGTCCCTCAGACTCCATTATCTCTATTTTGAATTTATTTTGTTCAGGAAGCTTTTGATTTTAAATTTTAGTTTGTTTTAAAGTGTCACCCAAGGAGAGTAACCTCAGTTCTTCATATTTTCGCATTAGCTTTAAAGTGTTGGACATAAGTGGGGGAAAAAAAAAAGACACTAAATTACCAGAGAACCTAAGAACTCTGATCCCGATGAGTTCCTTTACAATTTTCAGTCACTTTCTAAAAGGAAATTAACTGCACATTATCAAATAACATTTTATACTAACAAATAATTTAAATAGCCCTAAAAATGACAGTACTTGAGAGATCTAAAAGAATTCCATCCATGCAAAAAAAGTTTACATATATGTGTTAGTAATCTGATACCATTGTAGTTCGTTCCATGGAGGAAAAGGCAAAGAGAATCTAAATATTTAGATATATGAAAGATATTGGAAAAAAATAGATTTTTAATGATTTTATACTCCGAAAATACTCTTGATTTTGACCTTATAGTCCACAAAAGCAAGTACAGAATACAAAAGCAAGTCTACATTTTGGGAAGAGATGATGCCATACTCAAAGACAAGATAATTCTACAAATTTTGACAGCAGCAAAAAAACTGGCTTAAGAAATAGTCATTGGGAAAAAAGTATGCACATTCAAGAACAAAAGATGTGTAATATTTATGATTATTTAAGTAATACTCTGTGCTCATACTATGCCCTTTATTCAGGAGTGTGGAGCACTAAAAAAATGAGTATCCTTTACATATTTAGAGTAAAGTGAGCTATAGAAAGTTTGCCTGGCAAGATAAAAGCCAGGTTTTAGACATAAAATGATTCAGAATTCTACATTTCCAGTTTCTTAAAATTGAAATTATATACTATCTTTAATGCCTTCAAATTATTTTATCAAACATTAGTAAGTTTACAATTGTAGTTTAAGTTGTATGCCCAAGTATTGTGTGATAGGTAAAGCCCATAAGCCTTCCATCATATTTTAACATAACTGGTACACTGAATAGGAAAGTTAAGTGAAATGTAATCAATTTGCTTTTAGCTTTTTGTTTTTTTTTTTTTTTTTTAATTTTAAACAAATGAGATTGTTTGAGGACAGTTCAGGAAATTCTTGCCTTGATTTTTCTCCAGCAAGATTTTACAAATATCTGCTTCATATGCCAACATTAATATAGGGACCACAATAATTCTTTCCTTAAATACTATTTGACTTCTAGTCCTCTTTCCTCTCAAGATCTTCTGTCTCTTGGTGACCTGAGCCAGTGATTCATTGAAAACAAAATGTTAAGGTTTTGTGCAAGTACCAAATGTTGGGTTCAGTCAACTAATCTCTGATACTAACTTGCTTAAGTTAAGATCAAGAAGTATGAGGAAGAATTCAAAACATAATATGGGATAAGTAGTCAAATACTAGAAATGTGAGACAATAAAATAAAATATATTCTAAAACCTAATCCTTAACTTAAATCTATGCCTCATTCAACTACTAACCTTGAAATATGGAAGAAGTTACTTTACCTAAGCACACTGGACCAGTATATTATAGGAAGCAGCCAAGGCTGGTTTTAGCTGCCTCAAACTGCTTAGTGTGTGTATGTACATATGTTTGTGTATATGCTTAAAATGTTAATTCTTAAATTTGAGGAAAAGTTCCCAGATTCCTTTGAGAATCTAATGGAGTCATGGATCCTTGCTTTAGAAATACACACACACACACACACACACAAAATAAGTACTTTTAAGTGTTGATAACCTATTGTAAATCACAGCATTGTTGATTCAGTGGGATTAGACATGAAGAAAAATTTCATACTGTTAATAAAGACTGGTCACTAACCTTAAGGAATAGGCTTTGAAAGTACGAGAAAGTGCAGAGACCATATCCATTCATTCATGTGCCTCTTTTGCTAGCTCTAATGGTAACTGGTTGATGCAAATGTGCCCCTGATCTAGCCTATAAATATTGAAAACAAAAATGTTTAAGTTCTAACTTCTGCTAGTAGTGTACATGTAACAATTTTCAAGTCTTATGAAATGCTGCGAAGGAAAGACTTTAATATACCACTATCAAATTTCAATGTACCCAAACCAGCAATGAAATGTCTGAATATATAATTTGTTGCCTTGAGCAAATATAAGAAAATAAAGACACAATAGCTTTTAATTCTTTATAATCTTCAAGGATAGGAAACCAGTATCTCTGAGAAGTTTGTTTGTTTTAATAGAATTGAACATTTAATTTTTTCCCCACAGTAATCAAAGCAAACATTTTATCATTATTACTCTTGGTATATCAAACTGAATTCCAGGAATGTAAGAAAGTCTGACTTGGAAATATTACATAGAAAAAGGTTGAATTAACAAACACATTACATTTTTTAGTTATTTCTTATAAGTATACATTGACATCTACTTATCTGATAGCAGCACTGCTGGTTTTGAGTGAATTTTTTTTTTTCTTCCAGAGGGAATGCAGAACGGCAGTATTATCTTTGGAACAAATTAAGAAGATAGTAACAAATAACAGAAGAATAACTTCTACACATATATTTTTCAAGGGCAATAAATAGATAAGTATATAATTATGGAAAAATATGCCTCAAATGTACTTTTTAAAATTCCTCAGGATTTATTGTTTTGTTTTTTCTTGTTAAAATATAATGCACTGTCACTACTATCTGCTCTGGGAAAAACAAACCCTGAGGTTTGAGTTTCCTCCTTCAACTAAAAGAGTTGTATCAAGAGTAAACTTGGACTAAGGTCAACTTGTTTGAGCCAACAGAGAATTCTGTAGTGCATTTGATAACTTACCAATGTACGCATATTCTGGATTATTATCAAGAGACACCAAATATTTTGTATCAAGGTTTTATACCCCAAACAGGTTCTCTGATGATTTATCATGCTAGTATAGGGAATTTGAAAGAATAACAAATATATAACATAAAAAGACATGCAATACAGAAGGACATAAAAGACACAGCTTGACCCTGGATTTTTCCCTTAGAATAATTTCTTCCATAAATAAGACTTTACTTTTTACACATAGACTCATCCTATAACTGGTCTTGGATCACAAAGAATGTTATGGACATAGCTTAAGAAATCTAGACCACATTTTTTGTAGTCTATTGTCACCCTAGACCACAAAAAACATTCTCCAAGTGGATGCTCAGGTTAAATTAAGATGCTCTTAAACAAACAAATTTAGTGAGGCTTAGAATGTAAATCACATAACTACTTGCAGCAGCAATAGTTGTTTCAAAAATGACTAAAACAAACTTTTAAATATAAAGCATATAAAAAGGACTATTAAGTATAGTTTTCCAAACTATATCTAGAAATACAGGAAAATATGTGTTGCCTCATAATAAAGTTCAATAAATATTCTTTCTAAATCCTATAAACACTACAAGATGTTATAGGTTTATTTGGTTCCCATAAGTTAAAAATATCTGATTGCTTTTACATAAATTCCTCCAAATTCTATCTATTCTCAAACAGATTTTTATTAATGCTTTTTTACTAGTCTCAGAGATTATCTATAACTTCCTTTCAGAAATGTGCTTTTTTGTTGGTTTTAATAAGTATACCTAATTTTCTAGCAAACAAACATGATTTAAATTTTAAGGTTCAAGGTAATTCTAGAAAAAGGTAGACATTGAACTATCTGCTTTTCTACATCCCCATATTTACAAAATCTAGTGGCATCCTGTGGTTTCCCCCTCACACTCACTTATCACACTGTCAATAAATAGTAACTGTGGTCCAATTTACCTATATTAAAAGTTTCAAAATTCCTCAACATTTCACAACACTACAAAGTCATTAATCTCTGATTTTGATAGGATATAAGCATTAGTGTTATGTAATTTTTTGCTATTGGAAAAGAAATACAAATCTTTATTTTTTCTATCTAAATTAAATCCAAGTTCCACTATCAGTTCTCAAGACAGTATCTAAAATGTACATTCCTAAAGAAAGGTAAAGCTGTTCAAGGGCTGAACTAGTCCAATATACAATTAAGGGTTATTTATTCCTGTTATTTTTTTTTTCTTTTTAAATCCCTATATTAAACCCCTGGTTTCTTGCAAATTAGATCATAATTTAACATTGTGAAAATTAATTTCAGAAACTATTGTGCTAATATTTAGATTTCAGAAAGGAATCAGACAAAATCAATTACCTCCATTCATTGTTAGAACAGAAGATAAAATAGCTTACTAACTGATATGAGTTATAAATGTCACTATGACACAAAATTTGCTGTGATTTGCTTATTTGGCTACAAGTGCAGTATTTTTCATGAATGACAACACAGCATTTCCAACTTGTAACATGAAACTCCAGCTCATAAAGAGTGTACTGTGTGACTTGAAAAAGTCTGATTGTAACTAAGTAACAACCTTTCCCCTGAAAACATGAACAAAATCCATTGGGAAATCAGGCACAGACGGTATTTATCGGTTTTTCTTCCTTTCCTTCTGCGGTTTTGTTTCTCGAGACTATAGATGGTTCCAACGGAATCCAACACTTGTTACAAAATGACACAGCTATTTTTTTCCTTTTCTTTTTCTTTATCTTTTTCTCGAGGTTCCTTTCGTTTACGTTCACTATTCACAGATTGTCTTCCACTTGATGGAGAGGCTTGTGCTGGCTGGCTTTGCTTTAAGAAAAACAAACAGGAAGAAATTACCTCAACTTTTCTAAGGTGCTTTATCATAGTTATCTAGATAGAAAAAGCACAAGAATGAAAGGAATCATTAATGGAAAAAGAAGCTATTGGTGTATAGACTTGCTATGTTACATTGTATCTGAGTAATTGCCTCTACCATTCTGGATAGATATAATTAATATATTCATTATTCTAAGTAAATGGAATTTCAAAAGATAAATAACGTGTGTAGGATGATATAGCCTGAAGCCTCAAATTCAAGAAACATTTATGTTAAAGTTTAGAAAACATTGAAGAAAGTGACACCATTTGGTTAACTACAGTAGTTCTCCAAGACCTCATTAAATACTATACTACACAGATTTTAAAAGGAGAAAAAAAAAATTCTGAGAACTAAGTGTAGAATAAGTGTATTCTGTGAAATAAGAGAACTTTTTTAGTGAAAAGTTAATCATAACATGGTAGGTTTTAATTTTTAACCTTGGGGTAGTCAATATTTGAGCTAGAAATAGAAATGTTACACTTATTTTAATGGAGACCTCTATAGTTAAAGTTTCATCCGACCTTTAAGGGCATCTTGCTTTCTTGTATACCCAAATCAAAGGAACGGTTCTGGCATGGTACAGTTAAACATAAAAGAAGGAGAATATTTTTTCATGTAATGAAATGCGATTTAACATACAGAAACCCACTTAATAGTCACATTTTCAGTGCTTAAAACATTTAACTGGGAAAAGTGTAAAAGGTGCTAACCTTTGTTGAATACTTAGTATATGTCAGACATTGGGTTCAGTGCTAACACTATTTGTACTTAACCACAAACCTAAGAGTTAAGTATTATCTTCTATTTTACAGATAGAGAAAATGAGGCTAAGAGAGGTAGAGGACTTGGTCCAAAGTGTTGCAACTAGTCAGGGGAGATAGAAGCAGGAAATGCAAATCCACATCTATCTGGCTCTGAGGTCTACATTCTTTCCAGTAGTACTTTATACTGCCCTCTAATTGACAGAAAAGACTTTGTTCAAATTGGTTGATATTCTTTGTAGCTATTAAGGAACTTAAAAAATAAATTTGAAAAATCTTGCCATCAGAACCTCAGGAAAAAGCATTTCACTAAATGAGAACTATATTAAGATAATCACAAACTTAGGACAATATCAGAAAACCCAAAGGGTGCTACAATGCTAACGTAATTGAAGAGTCAATACCTAATTTAAAAATTTTTATTTCAGCACAACTTTCTTCATTGCTAAAGTGATCGTTTTATTTAAGAAGCAGAACACTAGCTTTTACCTGGGCCTGTGTAGAAGCAGAAGCAGCAACTGCTGCTGCTTGTTCCTGTTCCTGATAGTATTGAGAAGCCCGCCTATCCTCTTCTTCTTGGAGCTTCTTCGCTAGTTCCAAATCACTGATTCCTTCAGGTATTTGTTCCCAATTGATCTCTTGGCTCTGCTGTTCTTGTTGCAGAGATAATGCCATAAGATAGTCCTAAGAAATTAAATTATAACCATCTTTAGCTATGAGATTTTACCCAAGAACTAATGAGTGTAAATATAGAGGTTATATCTACAAAACTATGAGAATGGCTTTTAAAAAACATACCAGAACTTAAATTAAAAACAAGTTATTTAAGTATTTCTGTTTGGGAGCTATAAACTTATTTCAGTGATGTTGCCATGGTTCTACTATTAACAATCAATATACATCCACATAGTTTTTTCTACATTCACATACAAACTGAAATACATCTCCCAACCCCTGAAACTATTGCAATCTGTTTTCTTTTCCATTTAATGTCATAAAAGTATTGTTTAAAAAAAAAAAAAATCATAAGAATTTCCCAAGATTATTTATTAGATATTCTTCCAGGGGCTGGCCCGGTGGCATAGCGGTTAAGTTCGCACTCTGCTTCCGCGGCCCAGGGTTCACCGGGTCAGATCCTGGGTGCAAACCTACATACCGCTCATCAAGCCATGCTGAGACGGTGTCCCACATAGAGCAACTAGAACGATGTACAACTATGACAAACAACTGTCTACTGGGGCTTTGGGGAGAAAAAAGGAGGAAGATTCACAATAGATGTTAGCTCAGGGCTAATCTTCCTCAAATAAATAAGTAAATAAATAAATATTCTTCCAAAACATGATTTTTAAAGCCAAAACAGTTGTTCATCATACAGTCATATTCAATTACTTAACCACCCCCCCCTTCCTCCTCCCACACACACACCCAGATTATTTCCTATAAGAAAAAGTGATGCATCTTTGGTCAAAAGTTAGATAATATAACTTAATACCCACTTTTATTAAGAATTAGTGCTGAATGAAACTTGACTACTCTGTGTACCTCCCCCATCTATCCTCAAAATAAGAGAATTTTAAATAATAATAATTGTTAATTATTAATATTAATAAATAATAATTAAATAAGAGGATATGTAAAAGGTTGTTGCCTGTGAAGACCTTGTACTAACTAGCATGACTATCTTTTTTTTTTTTTTTTTTTT